TCAGGCTTTGAGGAATAGCTCTGGAAAAGGCTGGCTGGATTACTTTTTAAAATCTTGCAGTTCTTTGAAGGATTACTGCTATCAGTGATACTTTGATCTATTGATACTTCTGATATGTTTCTTGGAAAATGTAATATTGTTGAGTTCAAAAGATAGGGAAAATATTTTCAGGAATTTTTAAATTAGATGTTTAATAGCAAAACAAAAAAGTTTGGTGATGTGGAAGAGAACCTTGAAGGAAAAAAAAAATTGAAATCACAGGATTTGAAATCGGGAAGTGGCATTATTACTAACTAATGACTGCTATTTAAAGCTATTTTCTTTAATTATTTTTAATTATTGATAATTATTGGTGAAACTGCAGGATATAGATATGTACAATGAGTCAATTCTTATATGTGGTGTAAAAATCAAAGCATGCTCCAAGACTGGATGCCTGTGCTTTCCCCATTTTGGGGTTTTATAGTCCTTCCTTTGTTATGCTTTTGACTGGTTTCTGAGCTACCCTATAGCTCTCGTTGCTTTTTCTTTTTACTTTTGTATAGTGCTCTTTGCAGTACAGCATTTATATTATCTTTTCAATTGAAGAATGTACAATATAATTTTGTGTAAAGTTTCTGTGTCCTTTTTTGATGGGGTAAATAGCACAAGGTTACGTGCTCAATCTCCCTTTCTTGCTCACTGGTTGCCTAAGATGGGAGGCTTCAGACTTGGAGTTAATGGGCAGTGACTTGGCTGTGGTCTGTGTTACTCAGTAGCCTGCAGCCTCCATAAATACAGGTTCCTCCCCAAATTCCTGGCTTCTTATCTCTGTGTGTCTGTCTTTGTGCGTTTATGCATGCACCTGTCTTTGAACCACTATGCAAAGGCATGTCACTGTTAATGATTAACGTCTGTTGCCAGGAATCTGGATTTTCCATTACTAAGAATAACCTGTGCCAAGCAATTAAACAGATATTACTGCTAGTAATCTCATCAACCAAACGAGTTTTTTGTATGCTTCATAATTTCAAAGTATTCAGGAGGGTTCTAATACCCCAGACTTTTTTTTTTCTTTTACTTTTGAGTATTTAAAATCTGTTCAGAAGGAAGATAACTTTTCTACTTGCCTCTTTGATCTTATTTTTTTATCTTATGAAATCTTAAGCAAGTTTTTTTTTAAATTATTATTCATAAAGTCATGATAAGAGGATTCATGTTTTAGCTTGGGACCTGAAATTAAAAATGTTTTTTCTATT